AGGGCACCATGCCCAAATCTCCAGCACTTATTACAGAGCCGAGGAAAGGGAATGTACTCCTGGACAGAGCACCTGGCACCAGCAAGAATGATAGAGGGCGGAAGGGTTCTACCGTCATAGGTAATCTTCACAACCCGAAGGGGTTGACGGCGACGACCACGAGGGGGATTAGTAAACGAGTCTACCTGGAGGACAGAATGGCCCTGAGCATCGAGGATATGATGAATATCTTCGTGGCAGTCCTGGAGATTCCGAACACCGGTAGCAACATGGGGTGGGAGGAGAATAGTGCCAACACTGGCATTCAACCAAGCGTTCTTAGAGACTCGAACAGGGGTCTCACCAAGGCAGGACAAGGCGGCCAAGCGGGAGGCTGCATCCTGAGGAGCAGCAGCAACGACACGTGCACCGAGACGGGTGGGGTGGAAAGTAACAGAGGCATCTACGGAATCAACATTGTGCCTATGAAGGGAGAAATCGTCAGGAGGCGCAGAATCAAGAGGGAAGAGATAAAAGTATTTGGCCCACAAAGCGGGACCAAACAAGGCCCGATACGCATCAGCCCGGGAAGGAAACGAGCGAGTGCGGCCGTGTCGAGGATGGCGTTGAGAACTCCCAGAGAGAGAGAGAGGGGTTAAAAGGTGCAGTAGTCACAACTAGAGATTGAGCCGTGCCAGGGGACGAGGTGGTCACTACTGGGGGCTTGGGGCTCGACCCAACCACAGTGGAGGGAGGGGAGCTGAGGGGAGTAGTCAGAGAGGTCAAAGGAGGAGCAAGGTCGGGGCCCAACGAAGCGGGGGATACAGAGCCCGGTCTTCCAACACGGACCGACTCGGGGGCTTGGTTGCCCACCCCACGAGCGTGAGAAGGTAAGAGGAACAGAATGTGACATAGGTACGGCAAGAAAAACATTCATTCACGAATGTGCCCCCATACCCACCATGGAGCCACAATTAGAGGCAGGACACCCAACAAGAAGCTATCGCCGATCTTGCCGGGGCCCCCTAGGGGTGCGTCGTGAGTATACGCCCCACAAACGCCACCTTAATTACCGTCAGTCCGTCGAGATCGGGTTCAGTGACGAAAGGAGGATTGACAATAAAAGTTCCCCTCGCTCTCGATGTTGGTTACTACAGTTCTACGGGTGCAAGAGTATGCCTCCTCAAGCACCCGGGCGTCAAAATAGAAGAAGTCCAAAAGAATAACCAAAACAAGCAAAAGGTCGGCAGGAAACGACAAGCAGATAGGAGAAGAGGGGGGAGAAAAACGATACATAAGGAAAAGGAAAAGGTGTCCAGCAAAATTAGAGAGAACAGCAGCAGGAGCACAAGGTGACAAAAGGACAGAAGACTGCCTTAAGGAGCGTCACACTCCGGCAGCCGCCCACCAAGCCCCTCCACGGTAACGAGCTGGACAGGGAGGGGGTTTGTTGAGCAAAAAGATACCTGACTACAAGATTTCGATAGCATAATGGATGAGTTTATACGTTTAAGTTATTATCTCGGCCACTGGAGTGTCGGTGTCTTGTTGTTAGCTCTTTTAGGAACTCAATGGGGACTGTTGCAAGTGCCACGAGCAATTGCAAGTCCTCTGTGCAACCCGTTCTGCTAATGCAACATCGCATTTTGACGTATTCTGTATGTAGGGCCAAAAATCTTCGTACTAGAAAATGGCAGTTGCTCATGAAATTGACATTGTCCTGTTTTCTGTTTTAGGTCCTCTGGTAGGTTAGGATAAGTGCACTCTAGTACAACCATTTCTTGACGTTGGGAAACCTTAGGAGGACGGGCTGCTCTTTGAGAATCCCAGTTATTACAAGGTCTCGACACACAACACACACATTCTCCTTATGATCAGGTGTGTGGGGGCATGGAGAATAGCAAAATAAAAGAGTTTATTGAAACTCGAGATGAGAGAATCTTTGAGGGTTGCTCGAGGGAGCAGATTAAGCAAGTGGCGGACCACTTTAGTGCAAGGTTGACTACGACCAAGCTGGCAGGGAGGAGTGTTGAGCTCATAGCTAAATTGATGCTGGCAGGTGAGGAGGGGAAGGTGTCCACCCTCACCAGGGGGGGGGGGGATCTGGTGAGTCTGACCCGTCTGTGCTTGTGACTGTGGTCTTGTGTGAGAGTTTCACCCAGAAGGGGTAATGCACGTCGCACAGTCAAGGGGCCAGTGTGTGTTATGACCCTAGATAGCCTGAAGAACGAGTCTACCTATGAGAGTTATTCCACATACGAGACCTAACTGAGAGGTCAGAGAAAAGAGATATTATATATATATATATATATATATATATATATATATATATATATATATATATATATATATATATATATATATATATATATATATATATATATATATATATATATATGCAATAAATGTCGGTGACTAATTTTAGAATATGAGCAGATGATGAACATGTAAATAAGTGACATGACATGAGATGTCGATCGCAGGGGACATCTTGACCTTCACTTGAGTAACAGAGATCATGAGAGAGGGTTGTACTGTGTTTGAGCTCCTGGCAGAAAAGGAGGAGCCCCTAGTTGTGTACCCCTACAAGAGGAGGTAACCAAGCAGGCATTTGTGTGTGAAGCCTGTGGACGACTTAAAGTGCTGAAGTCAAGAGCAGAAGAGCTGTGAGGCCTGGTTGAAGAGAGACCTGGTTGGATGTCAGAGGGGACGACATCTTGGAGCTGTAGCTGATCAAGTGCCCTCGGCAGATAAATTTTGTGGTAAGCAAATATAACACTTGTTGCATTGGTTGCCTGTGTTTGATCATGTGCTCAGTGATCATGGCAAGTGTTTATGTACATAGTATATATGTTTATATTAAGACAGTGAGCTGAAATCAGAGAGTAGAAATAGAGGAACATCCTGGAGGGCGGAGTGATACATCCACCCTCTCCGGAGGCCAGTGACTGACTGAGGGAGCCTTGCGACCAGAGGCGGCTTCCAGCAACATCCCAAATGGACTCGCCCAAGATGGGGGAAGACCGTCGCGACATATTAGAGTTTAAAGAGATTTATGTTCTGTGAATACATTTAATTATGTTTTAGTAGGGAAACAATTTTATTGGCATGGCAATGGAAATTGCAGGATTCATTGAGTAGAATTGATGGAAGAACTTCGAGACCAGGGAAGAAGTTAATGGAAGAAACTTCGAGGCTGGAGAAGTGTATGCTGAAATCTGTCAGAGAGCAGAACCCCACAGTGAAGAGTTGACCTCAAGCAGTGTAAAGGAACAGTGAAGAGGAGTTTCACGCGTCTCCCTGGAATCAGTGGTGAAGCATCACTGGTGTTTGAAGAGGACTTCATTGTGCAGCAGTTTTGGGAGAACTGCAGAAGTGTCTTTTTGAATATTTTGGAGAACCTCGATATGTACATGGTAGTGAGCCTCCAGGAGCAGAACAGACGTTTACAGTCGTTACATAAGAATGTATAAGGGGAATGCTTGAATGCTTATTGGCGAGCAAGATGCAGTATAATGTGAGAGAGATTGATTTCTTCTTGTGTTGGGGAATATTTATGCAGATGTTTCTGGTGTTTCAACCACAGTCTGAGTTTTAGATACTTTCAGGACTGATTGTACAATATTGTCGTGACGATATTGCAGTCCTCATTTAGTGAGGGAGTAGTAAGTAGTAAGCCAAGAGTAGAGCAGCCACTTGATATGGATGTTTAGTGAAGCCAGGGTATGATATTGGATTGCTACCGGGTTGAAGGAACTTAGAGTGTTGTATGATACTAATTTATTGTTTCATATCATGTGTTGTATTTGTTTTTTCGTGTATTAAATGTGTATTGTAAGCTGGCTTTTGCTCTTGTCCTGGTGAGGCTTCGCAGAAATCAGGAGAGAGAGACAGAAAGGATCACAGCTGCGGACAGGGTAGCAGAGAATACTAATTCACAAAAAGGGGATTTAAGAGATCATTCCAAACAAGGAGAGAGTGGGGGAGTCAAGGCGTCTCAAGTAGGGTGTATATACAAGACAATGAGGCCAGTGATGGAGCCGCACCCCTAAATATGTAATGCTGAACCCCTTTCCAAGAATAAGAGGCGTACAGTGTGGTCTTCTGAGTAAATTTCATGCACGCCAGTGTCCATTGCTGGTCGACCAACGGTAGTGGGAATGTGGCTACCGAAGTCGGTTGTCTGTTCCGGCAGAGTGTGGCTGGGGGACGTTTGGCTGCCTGTACAAGTATCGGCCTGGTGCAACTACCAGAGCTCTCTTTGGAGGATTAAGTTCCATAAGCCCCAACCCCCTCAGTTCAGAACAGTGTGACAGTCAAGGGGTCAGTGTGACAGTCAAAGGTTTAGTGGAAGTCAGGGGTCAGTATGACAGTCAAGGGTAAGAGTTAAGGGACAGTGTGTCTGTGTGGCAGTCAGGGATCAGAGTGACGGTAAATGGCAAATGAGTCAATCGTTAGTGTCACAGTCGAGGGTCATTGATACTCAAGAGTTAGTGACAGTTAAGAGTCAATGTGAAATTGAAGGATCAGTGTGACGTGTGACTATCAGAAGGTCAGCGTGACAGTCAAGGGTAACTGAAAGTTGACTTTTGTCTTACTGAATTTGGATAAACAGAAAACTTTTTTAACAGCAACATAAATATAAGACTAACCTCTCCTCTCCTAGCACTCCTAGGCCAAATGAATGCTATCTTAGGCTTAATACAGTACACGTGCTATATTAGGCCTTGGAATATTTAAGTTTGGCTTACAACTATATTTTTATAGACTCTATAAAATTAATAGTACAAAAAGTAGTTTACTAGTGGACCATTACTACATATAGTAACTATTTGGTTGAAAACACAATAAGCGCCATCATTTCAGATGGACAGGTTGACTCAGGAAGGAGTTAATCAGTCTGCGCTGAGTCTGGAGACTAATATCAGGTCTGAGTAACAGTAATTATGAGTATGGGAATGAGTGTAATTCTCCTGATGAAGTGATCCTGGAGTGTGACTGTTGCTGGTCGTCCTCCACAGGTTGGAGCCTGCGGGTGTCGGGAGTGTTGGTGCCGTCGGTGGTGGAGTCGGGGTCGGAGGTGCAGCTCGCTTGCCACTACGAGCACACCACCGACCGCCCCGACCCGCTCTACTCCGTCAAGTGGTACAAGGACGTCAATCAGTTCTACGAGTACATCCCGAAGAGGGACCAGCCCGTCCGAGTATACCCTCTGCCTCACATACACGTCGATGTGAGTATGTTTCCGCCACACTGGTATGTTTGGCTCTGCACACGTCATAGTCACTTCTCATTACATAATGGTTTATAAGCACGTCAGCTGTTACCTATGTGATTGGTTTTTAATATATTCCAGCTACCAATTGTTTTCTGTGCCTCGCTATAAATTTGAGTAAATGTCGGATATTTCAAAATTTTCACTAAGGGTGTGTGTTTGTGTCTTGGTGGGTGATGTTACACTTACCATCTCCTGTCAAGCCTCTTCTGCCCATCAAGAGTCATACTCATAACCACTTGGTACCCCACCACTTGGGCTGGACGGTAGTTCGACGGTCTCACTTCATGCAGGTCCGTGTTCAATCCACGACCGTCCAAGTGGTGTTCAATCCTTCCCCCCACCCCCCATGCCCCCGTCCCATCCGAAAAACGTATCCTGAACTTTTTCAAGTGTTATATAGTCGTAATAGTTTAGCATTTTCTCCTGATAGCTCCCTTCCATCTATACGTATATTCAGAATGCCACCAAGTTTTGGTTAAGAATGTTTGAGAAGAGGCAGGAAGCCTAAAATTATCATTTTGTTTCATTTTCAAGTTTAGGAAGGGGAAGAGCAACCTTAGTTTTAATCCAAAGTGGCAGGCGCCGACAGCCTTTGCCTCGAGAATTTACGCCATAAATTTTTAAGAGGCAACGATGCTGGAGCCCACAGATGTGGAGGAGTGAGATGAGTGGCTGCTCGCAAGTATCATTTACCAATCATGTCACGTGACGTGCGGGTGGCACGTTAACGGCGCTTCTCTGCCCAGCAAATCGTGACTGCACCACAAGATCTTGAACAGGAAGGATATAAATTATGTTAGCTCCAAGAGTGAAGAGAATTTTACATTCGTGATGAGTCTAGAGTTTAGGAGATGACGTCATACACTTGAAGCAACCCAGAGCATCTCTTTGGAATAGATAAGTGGAGTCTTGAAATTGCAGGAGAAAGGCAAGATTTCTTGGTGTAGTGGCATAATTAAATCACCTGGATCAAAACTGAAAAGATTCAGTTTTTCTTGACAAATGGAATTTGTGAGCTAATTATGGCTGGAACTCTGTCTGTAATAAGGCCACTTAACTTTTCGAATGTTAGCTCAAGTTTTTCATTGATAGAACAAATCTCTCAAACAAGTCCTCACCACTTGTAGCTTCTTGTAGCTGTATACATGGCTTCCAGTGACAGCAGTTCCTCTCGCGTGTCAAACTCTGAAGCTATACCATGAATGAAACGGCCAGTTGGGCAGCATTTGTTATGTCCGCTGTCTCGTCGTAAGCCAAAGAGAATTTTGTTTAAATCTCCTGCAGAATTCTTCAGTGATTTTTTCAATGTCTTGTGCTAAGTCGGTAATCCATTCTGAGATGATTCTCCGAGACAAACTAACACTGAAACAATGTTACAATGTTGCTTTGTCTGATGGTAACAACTTTACAGCAGCCACTGTGCACTCTTTCACAAACTCTCCCTCAACACGAGGCCTCAGCTTTTTTGCAATTAGCTCAGTGTGTAACTCGTCTGAATGACGTTCTCTCTCACAACGAGGATTTGTGAAAGTGGCTTGTGATACCAAACTCCGCTGAAGAGCATTATTTTTTTCCAGACGAATTTGGTCTCCTAATTCATTGAGTTTAGCATGTTTTCCACCGTAATGACGCTACGTGTTGGCTTTTTTCACTACTGTTAACGCATCACACGAACTAGGCACACGGGTTTGCCCTCGACTTCCAAAAAAATAAAAAGTAAAATTATTTGTACATTTCGAAAGACATGTACTCCTGGCCAACCTGGCTCTCAGTGTTCTCTGAATCACCACAATTCAGGCAAATGGACCGTTGGCAACCGATGAGAGGCAACATGTCTGTTCCGTCATGTACTTGTATGTACTTATAATTTTTATGGCATAATTAGGAAAATTGAAAAATTGAAATTTCGAAAATGTGTTTTTGGTGGGTATTCAATGCAAGTTGTAAATCATGCATGCACACACGCGCGCGCACACACACACAAGACCTCACCAGTGATGAGGTCAAAAGGTGCCTGCTGGAGCTAGATGTGACAAAGGCTGTTGGGCCTGATAGAATCTCACCATGGATACTAAAGGAAGGTGCAGAAGCACTAAGTGTGCCACTCTCTATGGTGTATAACAGGTCACTGGAAACAGGAGACTTACCAGAAAGTTGGAAGACAGCTAACGTGGTCCCAATATACAAAAAGGGTGACAGGCAAGAGGCACTGAATTACAGGCCAGTTTCCTTAACTTGTATACCATGCAAGGTGCTAGAGAAGATCGTGAGGAAAAGGCTCGTAGAGCATCTGGAGGGAAATAACTTTGTAACGCACCACCAACATGGGTTCAGAGATGGTAAATCGTGCCTCACAGGTTTAATAGAATTTTATGACCAGGCAACGAAAATTAGGCAGGAAAGAGAAGGGTGGGCCGACTGCATTTTCCTGGATTGCCAAAAAGCATTTGACACAGTACCCCATAAAAGACTGTTAAAAAAGTTGGAGCAACAGGCAGGAGTAAAAGGGAAGGTGCTCCAGTGGATAAGGGAGTACTTAAGCAACAGGAAACAGCGAGTAACGGTGAGGGGGAAGACATCAGAGTGGCGAGATGTCACAGCGGAGTCCCACAGGGCTCAGTACTTGGACCCATCCTGTTTCTAATATATGTGAACGATCTTCCAGAGGGTATAGACTCATTCCTCTCGATGTTTGCTGATGATGCAAAAATTATGAGAAGAATCAAGACGGATGAAGATAGACAGAGACTACAGGATGACCTGGATAAACTGGAGGAATGGTCTAGAAAATGGCTGCTGAAGTTCAACTCTGGAAAGTGTAAGGTGATGAAATTAGGCGAAGGGAGCAGGAGGCTGAACACAAGGTATCATCTGGGAGGGGAAATCCTGCAAGAATCAAATAGAGAGAAGGATCTGGGGGTTGATATCACACCGAACCTGTCCCCAGAGGCCCACATCAAAAGAATATCATCAGCGACATATGCTAGACTGGCCAACATAAGAACTGCCTTCAGAAACTTGTGTAAGGAATCTTTCAGAACCCTGTATACCACTTATGTAAGACCAATCCTGGAGTATGCAGCTCCTGCCTGGAGTCCATACCTAGTTAAACACAAGACAAAGTTAGAGAAGATTCAGCGGTATGCCACCAGGCTCGTCCCGAAACTGAGAGGATTGAGCTACGAGGAAAGGCTAAAGGAGCTGAACCTCACATCCCTGGAAAACAGAAGAGTAAGGGGAGACATGATAACCACCTACAAAATTCTCAGGGGAATTGACAGGGTGGACAAAGACAAACTCTTCAGCACGGGTGGGACACGAACAAGGGGACACAGGTGGAAACTTAGTACCCAGATGAGCCACAGAGACGTTAGAAAGAATTTTTTCAGTGTCAGAGTAGTTAATAAATGGAATGCACTAGGAAGTGATGTGGTGGAGGCTGACTCCATACACAGTTTCAAATGTAGGTATGATAGAGCCCAGTAGGCTCAGGAATCTGTACACCAGTTGATTGACAGTTGAGAGGCGGGACCAAAGAGCCAAAGCTCAACCCCCGCAAGCACAATTAGGTGAGTACAATTAGGTGAGTACACACACACACACATAGCATGTGTGTGCATTGAATACCCGCCATCAAAGGTAGTCCCACTAACACATGTTCGAAATTTCAAATTTTAGATTTTGATCACTATACCATAGAATTATATTTCATGTGTGTCCTGTCTATCCAGTACTAGATGTTCCATGCTTGTTCCTTATAATTTATATTATTATTATGATTCATTCAATAGAAATATATCTTACCATGACAAAACTTCTAGATTTATGGAATTCTGAATCCCACCTGCGGTTGCCTTAGCAAGGCCAGACCAGATAATTTTGGACTGGCTTGCCTGCAGGCCGAACAATTAAAAGGCCCACAGGCCAGACATTCCCCACCGCTGTTCTATTTATATGAGCCTGTTAAGTTAGGTACAGTGTGTTACTCACCTAGTTGTGCTTGCACGGGTTGATCTTGGGCTCTTTGGTCCCCACTATCAACACCCAGAAAACAATTAAAATTGCCACAACGCTTCTGTAAAGTTCCTGAATGCTGTGGTAACGTTCGTTTTGAGGTTGTAGGAATATTATTGTGTGGAATCGAAATAGGTTGTCACACCTTCCTTAAGAAATGTAGCTAAGCATAATTTGGAAAATTATGTAACACAAAATTGTCACAAAAGTCGTTTCAGCAATTGATAGTATAAAGAGAAAATAAAGAGAAAAAACAAGAGTATATATAAAAAATAAGAGGATATTAAAGGATAGTTAAAAAAAGATTAATTTTTTTACTTTTCATTTAATGCAGAATCCGAGGTAGTTGGTGGTGCTTGTTCTTGTGCTTGCTGGGAATGACCTTTGGCTCTTTGGTCCCGCCTCTCAACTGTCAATCAACAGGTGTACAGATTCCTGAGCCTACTGGGCTCTATCATATCTACATTTGAAACTGAGTATGGAGTCAGCTTCCACCACAACACTGCCTAATATTCTATCTGTTAACTACTCTAACACTGGAAAAAAATTTAATGTCTCTGTGGCTCATTTGGGTACTCAGTTTTCACCTGTGTCCCCTTGTTTGTGTTCCACCCGTGCTGAAGAGTTGGTCTTTGTCTACCCTATCAATTCTTCTGAGAATTTTGTAAGTGATCATGTCTCCCCTTACTCTTCTGTTTTCCAGGGACGTGAGGTTTAGCTCCCGTAGCATTTCCTCATAAATCATACCTCTCAGTTCTGGGAATAGTCGTGACATACCGCTGAATTTTCTCTATATTTGTCTTGTGTTTAACGAGGAATGGACTCCAGGGCGGAGCTGCATACTCCAGGACTGGTTTGACGTAAGTAGTATACAAGGTCCTGAACGATTTCTTACTCAGGTTTCTAAAGGCAGTTCTTATGTTGGCCAGTCTAGCATATGT